TTTTGACACTCACTAGTAAGGCGCGAATAACAATTCTTTCTGAAAATATTGGCCTTTAAACTCTCTCTATTGCCTATAAATAACACCCTTTCAACCCTAAACATCACCACATCAATTCTTTCTATTTTTGTGTCACCAATTCCTTCTATTTTTTGTTGTAAGGTAAAATTATTTTTTATTCTATTATATTTATTTTATATATGATTATTTGAAAAATATTTATTGTACTAATTATTTTGTATTATTTTTTGCGATTGTAAAATTGGAAAGTGGGATCATACGTCGAGACATTTTTTTCGATACGGTAAAATTTTTGTAAATTTTTTTATTAGGTTGTATTTTAATTCATATACTATTTATTTAATTGGGCGTATTTCAGTTATTGTTTTTACATATATAAGACTCTCAATCTTTCAAACTCTCATAATGACGTGCATTTCAGCTATTGTTTACTATGATAGAGAAATTCGGGAAGATGAAAATGGCGTCGTGTTCGCATCAAATAATTCTGTCAAAATATCCTTTAAGAGAAACATAACTCTTGAGGATCTGATAACGAAGTTTTCAAGGAAGGCTCATGTTGGAAGTACTAGAAGACTGTTCACTTCAGTATAGATTTCCAACCGTAGTATTTTCATTAACTTATACAGCGTTCGAACTATCCAACGATGACGATGTTGCTATGATGGTTGATTCTAAAAATCATTATTCAGACGTTGATACATAGATGTATGCGAAATTCTTTGAAGTGTGTGTTGTTCGTGATATGTCATTATGTTCCCATTATGGGCTAGGTCAACAAGTTGATCAAGCTGACAGCCCAACTCAAGTAATATGTAATGATTTTAACTCATTAATGGGAAATCCACATCATGGTGCCATTCCATCAAGTTCAATGGGGAGACATTCATCAACAACTTCTTATGATCTGTGCCGATGTGGCACTACAAACAATTCGAATGTCAATATCGCGTGTAGTTCAAGGGGAAGACATTCATCTACCAATTTCTTTGACCTGAATATGGAGATGCCCTCGACTCAACAATCTATGCAGTACCCATTTGACACGATGCCTTCAAGCTCCAAAGGGAGGCATTCAATTGTGAGCTTCTTCGATCTCAATATTGATATGCCTTCAAGTTCAAGGGGAAGGCATGCAACTATCAGCTTGTTCGACCTAAATACCGGCAGCGTGGAGAAACCCTCATCTCTACCAGAAAAACCCCTTTGTGAGCCAAGTGTGGATGGTGATAAGACTGGACTATTCGTTCAGCCAAAATCACCACAGTTCAACATAGACTTCGATGATGATGATGTAGATGAAGTTCCCTAAAATACGGTACACAATGAACCTCCAACACACATGTATGAAGATGACTATGGTGCAATGTACTGGCCAGAATTTGCAGGTATGCCTAATGTCGATGACTATGGATTTAACTCATCAGTCAATGGTGTTGACAATTAAGAATTACAATATTCGTAATTCTGTTCAGTCTAGAGTCGACCACTCTACCATCGAAAAGTATGTTTGTTATTATATCAAACATGATAACGGATGTAATTGGATGGTTCATGTATCGAATAGGAAGAGGAAAAACAATATTTGGGAACTAATTATATACAACAGTCCTCATACATGTTGTGCTTGAAGGATCAACTAGGATCATCCCAACTTGGACTCTAACATTATCTGCCAAGCCATCATGCCCTTGGTAAAAGCAAGCTTGCATATAGCTATTGTTGTGTTGATTTCAGCTATACAGTTGCAGTATGAGTATAGCATCTCATACAGGAAAGCATGGAAGACAAAGTAGAATTCCATTAAAAACTTCACGACAAATGGGATACTTCTTACAACGAACTACCAAGTTGGTTTAGGGTGGTGCGCAGATTCAATCTGGGATAATTATCAACTTCGAAACTTACCATGCATACAACAATGATCGAGTTCTTCACGATCGATGCCAATTCTACCGGCTTTTTTGGACTTATCCATAGCGCATTAATGCTGTGAAATACTGCAAGCCCGTGCTCCAAATTGACGAGACATTCTTGTATGGAAATGATATTGACAGTTGTCCAAGATAGTAATCGCAACATACTTCCATTTGTTTTTTCCCTTGTTGAAGGAGAAGATACAGATTCTTAGGCTTTTTTTCTCAGAAACTTATGCTTACATGTTATCACGAGGGAAAAAATATGTGTTATTTCAGATCACGGAGATGGGATCAAATCAGTAATGGATTCTTTGGGTCTAATGTGGCAACAACCATATGTCCAACATCGGTACTGTATTTGAAACATTGCTCCAAACTATCATGGAAAGTTAAAAAAATGACGAGCGCCAATTACTTGTGCGCATAGGTATGTAAAAATGTTATTTTTCTTTGTTAATCATTTTCATTTTTATGGAAACAAAGTTAGTAAGTTCTATATCTGATGCTCGGGTTACAAACTACTACCTGAAACCTTTGAGTCCATGCTTCAAGAGTTACGAGGTAAGAATGAGGAAGGATACAATTACATCATCCTCATAAATAAAGAAATGTGAACAAATGCATATGATAGTGGATATTGATATGGACACATGATGACCAATTTGGTTAAGGCTATCAATTCGACCTTAAAGGGGGAACATTATTTACCAGTAACGGGTTTGGTAAAATTGACATATTTTCGTTTGGGAGCGTTTTTTGCAAAGCTCGGGGAACAAGTTCAAACTTGGATGCAAAACGGTCATGTCTATCACCCTAAATTAGTTACATATCTACAAAAAAGAATTTTTGCATCAAATGGAATGTTTGTAACAAGCTTCTCTAGAACCCATGAATTATTTCGTGTCACAGAGATCCCACAACCTCTTCAAGGGGTTCAAGCTAACTCATTCATAGTTAATCTACGAGACAGATGGTGCGACTGTGGGTTTTTTCAAGCTCTAAAGTATTCATGCTCTCATGTCCTAGCAGCTTGCTCGCATACCCGTCAAGACTATAAATGTTTTATGGATCATGTATACCTACTTTCACAAGTGTTTAAGGTATATTAATTTGAGTTCCCTCCATATGTAATGAGAAAGACACTAATGAGGTTCATAATTGGCTTCTAATTGTACCAGATTTGTCCTTATTGAAGGAGCCCGACTTTCCAAAATCCACTCAAATTCATTGTGATATAGGTATTCGGGAAACGTCCAGAGAAAACAAAAGATATAGGCATTGTAGAAATCCACTCAAATACATCTCTTTTGTCATCAAGTAACCGTTGTTGTTGTGCTTGATGTAGTTGTTGTTTATGAAATCTAAGTTTTTTTTAATTTAATTTTCATTTACTTTCAGTTAATTTCATTTGAGCATCACTAATTAATTAAACAAGAAAACGATACTACAATAAAATTAAAAAACACCAAATAATAAAAACATTCAAACAATTAAGTAATAAAAAGTTAACAAACAAAATAAATTAAGTAATAAAAGGTAAATAATTAAATAAAAAATTACTATTTTTGGTAAATACAAAAATAATGAAATGTATGAATCTATCGATGTCTGCATCTTGAATATGTTTTGTACGGTGGTGGTTGTCTATCTCGAGGAGGATTTTATCGTATAACTTGTTCGACTTCTCATTTTCATCATCATCATCACTATCACCATCATCATCATCATCATCATCATCAAGAGCAGATACATTTTGTTGATGAGGGACGAATGACGATGTAACACCTCCATAGAATAAGGACCCTGGAGATGTATGACTGACTATCCCACTGCTCATAGAAAACTGTGAAAACTTCGAAATGACTAACATCGATGAGTGAGAAAATTGTAAAGAATGTGTCTGTACGGCGGCCATCGGTGGTGAAGCTTCACCCGCCAAATAACCAGTATATAAACCTCAAGTTGGATCTACAAACATTGAATTATAATATTCGCCATGAGGGGTCATATAACTCTGCGGAAATGGCGGCATCTGGTATGGAAATGATAGTGTATGACCTGGCTGCACTGGTATATGAAATGGTTGTGGTGTCATCTGAAACGGCTGTAGAATATACAGCGGTGCAGATGATGGCCGCTGTAAAGGTTCTGGTGCTACAGCTGAAGACAATCCAAAACGTCTACTCTCCATCCACGAGTCGAGGGACGATGATGTTTTGACGATGGACATCTTTGTCTACGTCGATGAATACTCCTACCTCGTGCTTCTTCGGAAAGTAGGAACGATTTCCCGTTCCTATTGAACCACTCATAATAACCATCTGCAATCGTCAAATGGTCCACATAAATGTGTTCTGTACGGGGAATGCGCCCACGTTGATCATCCCATATCATTACCCACTCATAGTGCTTCAGCAACTAGTCGACTTCTTTTTGTCGTGTTGATCGAAGATATACAAATCGTCAAGATTTTTAGGTGCTTCCGAAATAGATTGTACGAAACCAAATTATCAGAGCACGCAATCAGTAGGATGCCGCTGGGCAATCGCATAACATATCAGAGGGGCCACCACCATCCAAATATCTAATGGGCCTTTTAAGTGGTGTGGGATGCAAATCCTCATCTCTTCAGTACAATAAGGAGCCCATTCAAACTAAAACATATATATAGTTTTTATCAAAATAATAATCTAATTATATAACGATAATTAAAAGTACATTTTGTTAGTTAAATGCATATCTTTGTGTCAGCCTTATGATCAATGAGTAGCCTAATTTCTTCTAATTCATTAGGTAAATCTCGATTATATTTTCTTGTAGTTGACCACCTATTCAATTAAATGATTTTTATTATATACCACATAAAATTATTAATATATGAAATGAGTATTGTAATTACCTCAATAATAGCGGGAAGACCAACGAGTTTTTCACCATCGAACATAAAAAGAGCATGCGATACCACACCCAAGACTGGAGCAGAATGGGACATCCGCCGATAAAATTTTTTATATAGTCAGTAGCTCGACATATTTCCCTATAGAGAAATGCCAAAACTGCTGAGCCCCAACTCAGTGTGCCAGCCTGATGAAAATCTATGAGGTGATGCAACTACATACAGTGAACTTGGTTGCGCGATTTGTCCAGCATCAGGAGCCCTCCTATGAGCTGTAGTATACAAGCCCGTGCATACATTTTAACATGTTCCTCCAAGGCATCACCACTCAAATGCTTGAAAGTTTCATCCAACCAATTTAACGGAATTCGACCACTATTAAAAATTTGGCGGGACACGTCCAAGATACTCTTCGTACAATGAATGTTAATCACATGCGCCACCCCAAAAAGCACATCTCCAACTACCGGAAGCCCCAAATGCATGGAAACATCCTCCATCTTAATTGTGCACTCTCCACACGGAAGATGAAATATGCGTGTCTCTGGTCTCCACCGCTTAACCAATACAGAATTCAGGTTAAATTCTAATTTACAGTGCCCTTCATATTTTTCTACGCAATTGAATCCAACCTCGACTAAATACGGCCATACATGGGTTTGTATCTCTAACTTAAGATTACAAATGAAAGGATCTAATATACGGTCTCTCTCCTAATTTAATAAATATTATAGGAATTAAAATATGAACTAATACTAAAAAAATTAAATAAATAAAATATTAACAATAATTAAAATTAAAATAGAATTTAAAATTCTTATCGTAACAACAAAATGCCTCGAGATATGTTTTCTATCTAAACATAGCAGAACGCCTTCCATTTTATAACTGAAAATAATAAAAAGTTAATATAATATAATTTAATAAAATAAAATAATAAATCATTAATTTATTATAATATAATAAAATATTTTACCTTCTCAATAGAATTTGATCGGGTTTGAGCTTTGAGAGGATTTGAGAATTTGGTGTGTGTTTGAATGAGGAAGGGAGGGGGTATTTATAGGGAGAGATGAGGGGTTTGGCCGGAGGGGGTATTAATGTGGGAGGTGTGATTGGTTGGAAAATTAATGGAAGAAGCGTGTCAGAAACCCTAAAAAAGAGCGGATTACGATCCACGCCTGTCCTTACGTGGCGCCAGCTCGGATAAGGTGCGGATGACCATTCACGCCTTTCATGACGTAGTGCTAGCTCGGATGAAACCTATCATCCACGCTGTTGAGTTAATCGAATGACAAAATTGGCCAAGAGGGGGGTGAATTGGCAATAAAAAATTTGTGGAAGCTTTTGCAGAAAATTGAAAGTAATTGCACAGCGATTTACAGTGGTTCGACTTTCTCAAACAAAGTCTACGTCCACTACCTTAGCTATCCACACTAAGGATTTTCCAACAAATTCACTAATTTGTTCTTTCTTTTGAGGCCAAAGAGATAACCTTACAATTCCCTCAAGAGTATACCCCAACTCTTGAGAACACTCTTTTCTCAAAGAGAAGATTACAAATTTGCAAACTTACAAGAAAACCTCACAAGGTAAGATGTTTGCACAATTCTAGAACAAAGAAAAGAACACTCAAAGATGAATACAATTGAGCACAAAAAGTGTTCTTGAAAGCAAAATGAATATTGAATGAAAATAGGCTTGAAATGTTCAAACTTGAGGTTTGATGCTTTCTCTTTGATTCTCTCTTGATTCTAGTTGCTTGATGTTTCTTGTTGTTGATCAATGGCTTCTAAGCTTGCTTAAATACACCTTGGATCACTTCTGAACGTTGGGGATGATTAGAGAAGATATTATAGCCGTTTTAGTGTGAAAACATTTAATAAAACAGCTTGGAGCGTGGGGGGAATCGGTTCCTAAGTGTAAAATTTAAATATTTCGACCGTTGTACAAGGGGGGAATCGGTACCCCCTTGGGGGGGGGATCGGTTCCCTCCGAGCATTCTGGAAATCTCGGAGCCAAACCATTCAGGGGGAATCGGTTCCTCCTATGGGGGGGAATCGGTTCCCTATGAGCAATCTGGAATTTTTGGCTTTGAATTGGTTCGAAATACTTTGTAAAATTATTTTGAAATTGTTTTATGATTAAAACTTAATTTTACACTTAAGTAAGGAAAAAATGATTTTTGAAATATTTGGAGTAATGTTTTGATATTCGAATAGTTATATCGAATATACTTAGAAAATCATTTGGAAAATGCACTTTTAAAATCCATTTAACTTAATTTGTTATATCGAAATATCAAAATGTTTCAACAATCTCCCCCTTTTTGATATAACAAAACATTTTAGTAATTTTAAGATTTTTGAAATCAAGTTTTGAAATTACTCCCCCTTACTTTAACACTTCTTCAATTTATTATGTAAAACATTTAACACTTAACTTATTCTTCTCCCCCTTTTTGTTAAATCAAAAAGACATTGTAAAACAAGGTTTTGAAATCATTTAGCCAATTGATTTATTAATTATAAGCTTAAGCTGCTAAGATCACAATCAAAAGAGAGGTTAGCCATTAGTTTCATCAATATTCATAAATAATGTGATATGGCAAAATTGGTCATATTGCTAATAATGATGTAAATGATGCAATAACGAATAAAACACACCAAACATATAAGTTCACATTATCCATAAATCCAAAATCCAACAATCCACAAAATCAAACAATTCAAAATGTTGAAACAATATTCATTTTGTTTAAAGTTTTAAAGCTAAACATAAAATCAAGCATCCGGATCGGTAGGTGGAAAACGGGCTCGCATAGCAGCCATTTCATGAGTTAGTTCATTAATACGAGCATTGGTTGCTTCATTGTTTGCACGCATCTCCTGAAGAATCTCTAATTGTTGAGCTCCCATTGTGGATAAATGAGACTCTATAGAGGAAAAGCGCGAATCCATTGTAGCATAACGGAAATCAAATGTCTCCATGAAGGATTGAAAATATGGAGGCATTTGAGTCGATTGTTGTGCGTGCTCCTCGGGTTGTTCAGGTTCTTCTTCAGCTTCATCAATATCCCTCATTAGTTGTTCAAACTCGGGATCTTCATTAGCTTCGGGTGGAGCTTGTGAAGAACTAGCTCCCGGAGTAGAAGATCGAACCCATGCACCGGTTTCCTTATTTTTGACCCATCCCGCTCTTGTTAAAGAAAGAAGATTGATTTGTTTCTTAAGAGGAAATGAGGCATCTAGACCAACTCGAGTTCAGCTTTAGAAAGAGATTACTAAGGATACAACCGTAAACTAGTGAAGAACAGAGTTTCTTATTTGGCACTAGGTTAACGGTTTCAACAATTTCAGCAAAGATAATCTCGGAGAGGTTTATTTTTATATTGTTTTCAAAACAGTGCAACCACCAAAGATCTAAAGCTCTAAGAGTTGAATAACGACTCCCAGATGGTCGAAACCACCAAGTGATCATGAGATGAAGGAAACGCTCATGGAGATCTAAAACACTTGCACTATCATTCCGTTTATATCGTGAACCTAAAACTTGTTTTTCGTTTGATAAACCTTCATTGTCCAAGCCTAAGGCATTGGCTATGTAATCCGGATCAAGATGGAAATATTGACCTAGGAGGTAGGAACGCACTCCTATGGTTTTGGTTTTGTCACGATTTTTGATACAAACGGCATTACAGTAGAAGATACGAACAAGATGATGATAGACAATGGGTTCAAGTTCGAAAAGTTTATCAAATTTCCATTCGTGCAAGATAGGGAGATATTTAAAGTTAATGTCAACCATAGTTTGAAGAGATGGGATACGTTCTTCCCTAATCTTATACGAGTCAAAATATTGGTAAAACCAATAACGATAATCTTTAGGACCCGGTTGATTGAAACAAGAATTTTGGATAATCAAGTTAGGATCAAGATTTGGAATAGGATTTTGAGGAATAGGAGGAGAATTTGGTTGACGACTAGAACGACTAGATGAAGACCTAGGACGTTTAGGATTTGACATGGTGAAGGAAATCAGAATAGATAGAATAACCTGCAATTTTAAAACAGATGTATGCAATTCAATTAATCCCAAAACTCAAATGAGTCCTCAATATTTCAAGATTCTCTAAATCAATCCTAATGGGTAAAGTTTTTGAAAAACTTTTGAAAAATATGGTTTTGAGAAACAATATATGTATAGTTTTTCATAACAACAACATAATTTAATCAAAACACAATAATTTGAAAAATAACATTTTTTTTATTTCGAAAATTTAAAAAAATTTGAAAAATTCTTGTGTTTTTGATGAAATTAGTTGTAACATCTAGTTTCTAATCCCTAAATAAGCAATGCCCGATCACTATTTCAACCTAGAACTAATTACAACTAATCCTATGTTCAAAAATAATGAAATAGAGAGTTTAGAAAAATTACCTTGAAAGATGAAGATTGAGGGAATTTAGATGTTGTTTGCACGACTTTAATGATTTCAACAGGTTTAGAAGATGATATTTGAAGTAAATTCCGATTAATATCGTCGATTTGAGACAAAAATGGAGATTTGAGGGTGTAAGAGGTGAAAAACGGCGGAAGAGAGAGAGAGAAGAGGGTTTTGGGATTTTGGGGGTGTTCTGCCCGATTTTAACAGAACCCCAGGGGGGTATCGATTCCCCTGTGGGGGGAATCGGTTCCCCTTCAAAGGGGAATCGTTCCCTCAGGGGGGGATCGATTCCCTCTGCACCAAAATGCTAAAATCCGATTTTTTAAGCACAAAATGCTAAATTAATCTTTTCTAGTGGTATTGGCAACTCATATATCAAACATTAATTATGTTCAAACAATTAAATTAATCTTTAATCGATTTTTGAACATAAAATTAATTTTCATTAAGAATCACAAACTCCCCCTAACTAATAGAAAGAATGCAATCAAAAATTATTATTATAAGCATTTTTCAAGATTTATTAAAAGTGCTAAAATTATTTTAAACACTAAGTGAAGATAGGTTGGTCAAACCTAATTCTCTCCTAAGTGTCCAAAATCTTTCCTTGTCTAAGGGTTTTGTAAAGATATCCGCTAATTGGTGCAAAGTATCAACAAATTCTAGAACTACATCTTCCTTAGTGACATGGTCTCTAATGAAGTGATGTCTTATTTCAATGTGCTTA